TATATATTTTTACACAGCTCAACGGAACCTTTTTAATCTGTATAATACTTTATTGAAAAAAGTATGCCTTGCCATTTTCTATGGGAATTAGAACATTGCCAACGAACCACTTGTGACCATGATTTACTAATGATTAGTACATGAAAAATGTGTCGAATAGCTCGATAGGGTTGTCAGGCGGTATAGCTACATTGAGCAGCATTGGTTCCCCACCGTAATCATAATTTTTCATCTAATGATTCACGATCAAATCGACTACTGACAGAATGAAAACAGTATTAAACAAAGCCAAGAAAAACTAATCATATTTACGCTACTGCTTCCATTGCACACGCCTGGTTCACGCATCATTATCTAACGTCCTTCAATTTCCTGTTATCTTTCCTGTTGTTAACGCTCTATGTTTCACTGTTGTTTTGTTCGTTTAGGGATGAGACTTCCCCACCACCTGACGAAACGCCGCTGGTGAAGTTACACGCGACGCATAGTGAGGATAATGCGTGCATTTCGGCCTCGTGTTCCTCTACGACTTGTTCAGGTGCGGTAGCAGCAGGTGGCTGTACATCAGCTTCTACCGCGTCAACAGCGTCCGGGGGGTGCCCGACGGTGGCTCCTTTCGCACCTTTACCACCGTCGACAACGACGACGCCGGCAACAATCACAGTGGCAGCGGCCGCGCCGTCACCCCTCGGACCTGGAGGTCCACCTGGACCTGGCCCTGGTTCTGGGGGTCCTGGGCCAGCTGCGGTTGTCACTGTAGGCCCACCTCCACCTATAGCTGTTGCTCAGCCTGGACCGGTTGGAAATGTTGGGGTCGTCGGTATCGGAGTTCCAGTTGGTGTAGGCGTGGGGTTGAATGTTGGCGTAAACATGGGTGTGGGAGTGCCGGGCGGAGCTGGTGCTCCACCTCACCCACAGACATTGCCCCTTGGAGTCGGAGCTGTAGGACTTCAACAGCCACAGCCGCCGCAACAACAGCAGCCTACGCCGGCCATCCACGTGATTGGTGTGCTGGGTGGCGGACCCACCTGTGATGCCGCTCTCTGTGATAACAATGGGCCCGTGCCTGCGCAGCCCGCCATGCGGATGGTCGACGTTCAGCCGCTGGCGCCGCTAGGTGCGACGGCAGTCACGACGGCAATGGTGCCTGATTGTGGTGGCCCAACCGGGGGCGGCGCCCCTGGTGGAGGCAATGGCCCATTGAGGCCAGGTGTTCAGCTGACCGGACAGTTAACGACGGCAGCTGGTCAGGTGGTGGTAACGACAGCTGGCGTAGCTGGATCACCTTCGCCAGATGGAGCTGGCAGCGGTAAAGAGCTGCTTGGCGTTGGCGCTCCGGCCGTCAACGTCATATGCGCATCTCCGAATATAGTGAGTGGCAGGATGATATTTTGTCGAAAATATAATAGCTGGCGTAGATAAGGTGTATG